GTAGAAGGCTAGTAATATTAACATTTGATAAAAGTCCAATTGAAATAAGTTGGGTAGTTTGACAAGATAAGAATAAGAGAATAGATATGTAATAAGTTTTGAAAGAAAGGTTTTGAAGGTTAGATAGAAGGTGTATGCACAAATCAAAAAAGAATCATGGAGTATAGTAATAGCTATGATTTTTTTTAAAAAAAATACTTGATTAATATATTAATAATTATAAAAATAGATTATCAATTTTTATTGAACATGATTAAAAATTATTCAACTTTTGATATTTCTATATTAATAAGGATAGCATATATCAAATCTATAAATCTTAAATTGAAGCATATTATAAGGAAAGAAAATTTAGTCATAGATATGTTATTTAGAATAAGGTATTACGATAAAGAAGATATGATTGATTTGGAAGATAATATAGATACAAAATTCTATACTAATACATTATTAAAGAAAAAAAGTGTATGTTTGAATATACCATTCAAAATATTTTTAAGAAATTTATATGAGGGCAAATCAAAAGATATTAAAAAGTATTTAAATACATTAAAGCAACAAGAAGGTTGGAAAAATAAAAAAATTTAAGAAAATCCATAAGAAAGTCTATGGATATTTTTTACACATTAGATATTTATAGAAGCATCCAAAGAAGAAAAAAGAAGTATCATAATAGATGATATGTGGTTTTGAAGCTCAACAAAAGATTATTAAAGAATTTTATGCAAGTTTATAGACATGATATAGAAGATTTTGGGTAAATTTTACTAAATTGAAAGAGAAATATTGGTAGAAAGGCATATAAAAAGATGTAGCAGATTTTATAAGATTATGTGAAATTTATCAAGTTTATTCTATAATTTAATATTAAAATTGATTATATCCAACTTATCCTCTAACACTACATTTTAAGTGAGTAGTGGATTTAATAGCAATGCCTATGGGACTTAGATAAATAAAATATTTAGTCCTTGTATGTAAAGATTTATTAAATATGGTTGAAGGATGAGCATTAAGAATAAAAAGCACTGAAAGTATACGTCAACTATTTTTAGAAGATATTATTTATGAATATAGTTGTATTGAAAAAATCATTGTAGATAGAGGTGAATTAGATGCAAAAGAAGCAAGAAAATTCTTTAGTAGGATAAAAATTAAACTTTCTTTGACAACAATACATAATTCAAAAGATAATCCGAAGAATAAGTAAGGACATTCATTTTTTTGTTAAGGCATTAGTAAAGGCATACAATGGCAAAATAAATTAGTAGCCTATGCTACTACTATTTGTATTGCAGATAAATTGTACTATTCATACTATGATGACAAGTTATATGCCTTTTGAATTAATATATAGATAAAAGCTAATTATATTAATAGAAAAAATGGTGCATATATGGAGAGAGTTGCCTTGGAGGAATGATCTTAATAAAAAGAAGCTTTTAGAATTATGGATTCAACAATTGGAACAAAAACCTAAAGATATTGAAATAACAATAGAAAGATTGAAAGAAGTAAGAGATAGGAATAAAGAAAGATTTAATGAAACACATTGACTATGGCCTAAATCAATAGAAGAAGGTGATTGGCTTTTAGTCTATGATAATGGTTTGGATAATCAATATAGTATATTAAAAAAAAATTAAGCATTGGTTTAGATCATATAATGTATTAAAAGTCTATGACAATGGTACCTATATGTTATGATAACTTAAAAGAACAAAACTAAATACACCTATAGTAGAAAAACAAGTTAAATTATTTAGACAAAAGAAATGTATGCACATATTTTAGTAAAAAACAAAATCTATTAAATGATAGTAAAATAGAAATAGAAGAATAGATTGAAGACCGAGAATTTAACCAAGATGAAGAACATCCTACATCAACATATTGAAAAACCATAAATACATGCCGGAGGATATACAAGTTCAGAGAGGGATAAATGTCATATATTGTGAGCTAAAAAAAACCTCCATTAGATGGAAGTTTATTCTAATTCTCAACATATAGACTTTATTAATTCATACTTATAAATAATAAATTACTTGATAAATTTTATGTACTAAGAAACCTTATTACTATATATATATATATATATATATATATATATATATATATATTAGCTTATTTTAATTTTAATTTAATTAAAATTTATCCATTTATAAATCCTAATATATCTTTATTCTTTTATAAATCCTAATTTAACTCAAAAAGACTAAAAAATCACTTAAAGATCATATAATATTAAATTAGAATGACTATTGCTTAAGACAAGAAGATTAGAAAATCTTAAAACAAGAATAAGGACTAAAAAGGCATTGATAAGAGTGAAGAAGGCTTCATTCTTGCCTCCATATATACTCTTAATTAGGAGCTATATGGCAATTTCTTATAGGACCTCCAAAATGTGTTGATTTCGCAAGACACGTATCTTAACTTACAAGACAAGTTTTCTATATGTACACCATATAGTTAGCTTGTTTTGCAAGCTTTCAACATATGATTAATTTGTTGACCAAGTTTCTAACCTATCAATCAACTATAAATATATATAAAGTTAAAGAAATATTTATAAAGATTTTAGGAAGCTTCTTTAGAATATATTATAAAATAAATCTACTTTAATCTACTTTTATTTAATCATATAAATAAATATTAGAGTAAATATGTATGTCCAAGATACTACATGGGTCTAAGGATCTTTATTCCTTATACCTTTGAAGATTTGAAGGTTAGGAATAATACATGTAGTACTAAACTCCTCTAAAACTTGAATAGATAAATCCCTTTGTTGAATCAAGGGATTAATTAGTATAGATGGTAGTTCTTCTTGTTTTGGTCTATTTGGATCTATTATTTCTTACAATTGAGGCAACTAGACATCTTTTTCATCCAAATTACTTATATTATCTATCTAAAGATTTGAAAACAAATTTTCTGAATTTTTCTCAAGGTCTTCTAAAGAAAGGCCTTCAAATTCTTCAAAGAGGTTTTTAGGCATATTTAAATTGGGTCCAAGAGTCAAAGTCCTAATATTTGGCAAAGAATATCTAATAATTCTTAAGTACTTTGTATTTTCTAAGGATTATACTAATATAGGTTTATACGACCTAATAAAGTCGTGTATTAAACTTCTAAAATCACAAAGTCATTTCAAAAAATTAAAAATTAAAACAATGGAATAAGTTAGATAAGATATCTTATGAAATTAAGATTTTGTTATCTTATGCTTATCAACTTACATTCCACTTAAACACTCCTTCCAATATAGAAGAAAAATACAACAAAAATAAACTAAAAAAAGAATATTTACTTAAATATCATCTCAAGCAAAGCTTTCCTTCTCTTAGATTATTATATGGATCGACCTTGTGTGGGAGTAATCCTAAGCAATATTTAATGCAAAGATATTTCATTGTCAATAGGAAATCTAAGTTTTTTTTTTTTAATCCTTTATATTAATGCAGTTAGGAAATTATCCATTACATGATTAACAATAAAAATTACTAGACAAAAGAATTCTTTGCATGTATCAATCCAACTTGAAGAAAAACTCATTTGGTTGCATTGCTAGCTACTTTGTTACTTGTTAATGAATCACTATAGAAAAAAATCTATTTAATCTCTCTAATTAATCATGAATTAAATTTAAAAGTTAGGATTATAAGTAAAAGTTCTATTTTAATCTACTACATCCAAATTCTAAAAGAACGAATAGATGAATATCTCTTCTGCTTCTTCCTCCTAGATTCTATCCTCCAACTCTTAACTCTACATGTATATATTAAAAATTTAAATAATTCAAATAATTCAAAAATTAGAGAACTTATTTGATTTTATGCTCTCTAAATATCAAGTATCTTTTTGTAGCTCTTTGCTTTTCAATCTACTATCTATATTAGTCCAATGAGAATTTTAAAACTCTATTGATTGTCCTTAGAGTATTTAATATAGAATGTAGTCTTTGAACTTGAATTCTTTCCCTTCTATCTCTTCTTTGTTTTATTTTATTTTTTTTAAATATATTTTTTTAAATTGTTGATGAAAGAACTCTTAAAATATTGATGAAGAAATCTTCTTATACTATATTTGTGAGTAAGAGAGGTATAGTAAGTAGAAAAGGTGATTAAATCCTTCTACAATTAGAAAATTGTTACTAACAAAAAAATTATAATTAGATGAAAAGAAAAGATGCAAGGAGTAGAAAGAATGATTAAATTCCTTTAACTACTAGAAATGGGCCTTCAACAAGGAATTGAAAAGGAAGAAAAGTAATAACAAATTTTCAAGAAGAGCTCTATCTTTGATGAAGATCTTTGTTTAATCTTAATTTAATTCTAATTCTTAAAATCATTCTAAATCCTTAAGTAAGCTTTCTTCTACTTCATTCTAAAATTCTTCAAGCTCCTTCTTTGATTTGAGTTTCTACACAACAACAATCCACAACAATACTAGAAGATTGTAATAGCATAAGATAAAACAATTTAGAAACATACAATAGATAAATAACTACCTTTTAAGCAATCTTAAGACTTATAAGATCTCGTTCCTAATAGATACACCAAAATGTGAGCTAAAATAAACTTCTACTAGATGGAAGTTTATTCTAATTTATAAAACGTGGATTATATTACCAATTCATTCTTACAAATAATAAATTACTTAATAAATTCCATGTAGTAAGAAATCTTATTAATATAATTTTTATTTATTTTTTTCTATTTTTAGTTTATTTTAATTTTTTTTATTTAAATAAAGCTTATCCATTTACAAAATCTCATCTTTGAATGATATTTTATCTTTAAATAAGCTTCCATCCACAAAATTCATCCAAAATTAATTAATTCAAATCTTAACCAAACTTCATTCAAGTTGATTTAAATTCAACTCAATATTATTTTTTAATTAATTAATTAATTATTTTATTTGTCAACCATGCACAATTTTCCTGAATTAATCATAAATGCACATTTCAAATGAAGTCCAAATATCAAGCCTTTTTTTTTTTTTTTTTTTTTTTTTTAAATCTACTGAAAATGTGTTCATAAACTATGAAGTCAAAACTACCTCTCTGGAGTACAACGGAAGTCACCCCGAGACTATAATCAAGAATGGCTACTGCAATTTCTCATAGGCTGATTGTTCCAGCCACTCTTCCGAATTTGCCTTGTGCCACCACCACTCCTTGACTTGCGGCAGCTAGATCCAATCCAACACCTGCTAATTTGCGTGGAAATAGAGGTTAGCGACCAATGCCCTATTTAAATCAACCTTTAGGTCTAGACCAGCTACTGCTAATATGCTTGGTGTGAACTTCACACCCTTGACGAAGGAAGCTACTTTCTCCAACTCATATTAATGAACCAATTTTCTAGGGTGTGTACGCACGCTAGGATAGAATCAATTTGAGTTGCTCCAAGCTAGGTTGCAGCCTTTTCTTATTGTGAAAACAATAGCTAAACACACCAAATCGAACAGAGACCAAACGGGTAGCCAACGCTCAATGTTCGACCTCTGAATTATTAGGAATAGCCTCCAAAACACTCCTCAGAACAATCACGCAGATCTCTCTTTAAGAATTTTCTTCCAACATGGGGAGCAAATAGGTAATTGCAAGGATTGAACTAGACAAGATTGGATGTGCACAATAGCATTGGGACAACCAATGATCAAACTAGTGTCCCAAATACTCGATCGTCAACCACTACTAGTTCCTGAGCTTTTAACTCAGCAATGAGCATCCGCTTGGCTGCAATCACTATCATGAAAAAACTTCAAAGCAGCCTGGCTTCACAATCACGATGGCAAGTTCAAGGCCTCCAATCACCGCTTAGAGTTGCTCCTTGCCATGGACTTCCGGCACGACCTTTAGATTCCAAAAAAAAATTCTAGAAGCTTTGCAAGGATTGACCAACGCCGCCACACACAAAGCACTCTTATCGTCGATAACAACCAGAACAAGGAAGAGTGAACAATACCACCCCGTACACCGCAATTGAGCCGCATGCAGCTGCACTCCTTGTAATATCGCACTCCAACCGCATCCGCTTTGCCATCGATAGAGCAAAGAAGAACTAGGACCACAGGAAAACACAAATTGAGCCTCTACTAGATTCCACAGTACTTCCATTCCATGCTCAATGAGGTCCGGGGTGCACTTCCTCGGACCCCGGCAATCTCTTCCCAAAAAATTGGGATCTCATCTTTATTCCGAGAGGTCTGAAAGGTAAGGTCTTCTTTCCTTTTTTTTTTTTTTTTTTTTTTTGTTTTTCCTTTTCTTTTCTTCTTGTATCCTGCTTTCTTTCTTCACTTTTTCTCTTTCATTTGATTTCTCTCTTCTTTCTACAACATGTAATATATATGTATACATTTTTTTCTTTTTTAACTTTGCTTCTAATTTTTATTTATTTCTTATCATATATATGTAGAGACCATATATAAATAAAATTTTCTTTTTTCTTTTTTACACAAAGTTTACTTCTCTTATTCCTTCATTAATTATTAGCTAACTAAAAAACAAATTTTTTGTTGAATTTTTCTCATTAAATTCTATTTTGGATTGCATATCCACTATTAGCCATTTATTTTTTTATTTTTCCCTAAAAGTTCTACTACTAGTTCACAAAATCTATAATTTTAAGCACAACAAGTATATTTTTTATACTTAATATCCAAGTGAGTCAATTTAGTGACTCTTATGTAGCAACACAACCATTAGGTAAAAGAAGAAGAAAAGTATTTTATTTCAAAAAGCCTAATTAAAAATAAATTATAAAAAAACATAAATAAATGATAGGCATGTAATAAAAATTATTCATATTTGAATTTTCTTTTATGAAAATAGATTCTATTTATTTTATAGAGCCATAAATAATATAAAATAAGATAGATTTAAAAAATAATGAATATAGGTATATGTAAAAGAAAGTTAGGAATTGATGTTAGCAAAAATTACCTCAAGAAGATAAGTATTAATATCTTGAGAGAATTGGTTGCTAACAAAGTGTTACAAATATATACATTTATCTCAACAATTACTTATATGATTAGGTAGAAGTAGATAAATATAGATTAATTTTATAAAGTCTTATAGAAAAGCTTCTTAGAAGCTTCATAAACACGATTTTGACTTTAGATGTGTTTGTAGTTTGGAAACTTAGCCAACAAGTTAACCACATATTGGTAGCTTATGAAATAAGTTAACTCCGTATATTAGCTTGTGGAATAAGCTAACCATGTAGCACATACATAGATAACTTGCCTTGCAAATTAAGACATGTGGCTAGCAAAATCAATACGTTTTGGAAATCCTATAGGACATCGCCACATAGCTCCTAGTTAAGAGTATATATAGAGGCAAAAGTAAAACCTTCTTCACTCTTGTCAATGTTGTTTTAGTCCTTAGTCTTTTTTTAAGACTTTATAATCTTCTTGTTTTTGGCAATAGCCATTCTAGTTAATATTACATTACCTTTAGAGTTGCTTTCTAATTTTCTTCAATAACATAAGAGTATATCAAGGATTTTTTTTTTTTTTTTTTTAGAATTTATATCCTTGACAGTTTGATAAGAAAGCTAACATATTGTTTCTGTCTTGTTTTAGAAGTGAGTGGATTATTCCACTTCTATTGTTGTGTTTTGATAGTTACAGACTGCCGACCTTTTAAACAAAAAAATCTTGTTTTTTAATGCTGATCTTTCCTTAAAGACAATAGATTATCTTTCTTTGTAAATTTTTTTATTAGAGATTACAAATTATTCTCTTCTAATTTAACTTTTTAGATTTGTTTGAATTTCCTATTGAAAGAAAGATTATGGATTCTACTCCTAATCGAAGTGAAAATAGATTTACAACTATTACACATCTTCATGAACATGTCAATACTCTTAGAGTCGAAATCTCATGTGTTTCTAATGTAAATTATGGAGTTACTATGCCTACGCCTATGGAAGAAGTTCAGAGTTTGCAACAAAAAGTTGTAGAATTGAAAGAAGCAAGTAGATCGACTTTACAACCAAATCTAGGGAGTTTTCCTTCTATAAGTATGATAGGAAGAAGGATTAGTATGCCTGAGAATTTTGACGGAACAAGTTTAAAATTTTAAAGATTTTTGCAATAAGTCAAGTTCTATCTAAGGTTGTACCGTTCTCAATACCTTGATGGATTTAGTAAAGTTGGATGCATAGGCGTACTTTTATTAGAAATAATTCTCTCTTAGTTTGTATCTTTAATGGAAAAAGATTTGCGACTTCTTTATGATTTGAATTCATTCTTAGAAGTGTTTAGGGCCACATTTGAAGAAAGCGATCAAGAACAAGTACCATAGACCAAACTTTTATCTTTATGATAAGGATCACGATCAACTACCACATATGCTACTAAATTCTAAAACCTTGCTTGCAATGTAGACTAGAATGACAAAGCACTTATCAATCAATTTTGATATAGATTGAAGGATAGTATCAAAGATTTATTATTAAAAATATCAAAAGCAAAACCTTTGGAACAATTTACTCTTCAAGCTATTGCATGTGACAATCAATTATTTGAAAGGCATCAAGAATAAAGACTTGGTTGGAGAAGAATATGTTAAGTAATGGTGGTAGCCTCCAATTTTTCTGTAATATATTCATCAAGGTTGAAACTATTGCATATTGATATGATACATTTTAAATCTCTCATGGAGCAAGAAAAGATTCAACGTCGCCAAGAAGGTTTGTGTTTATATTGTGGAGAAGCTAAATATACTACTCAACCTTGTGAAAAGGAACAATACAATTACAAAATGAAGAGCATAATTACTAAAGAAGATAATGTCTCAAAAAACAAGTTTCTCCAACTATAATAGAGACCGTGCTCATGGAATCATGTGCAATACCTAGTAAAGGTCCTATTCTCTCCTCAAATCCTTCACCATGTTTTACAATAGATGTGTGTTTATGACCTAAAAATCACAAAGTCTTTACCTTATTAGATTTAAGAGCCTCAACTTGTTTTATAGATGAAGTTTTTTTCAAAAATTAAAAAATATTTTTAGTCAAGAAAACTATATCCATGCATGTAGAAGTCATAGATGGTCGTTTTTTGTCTTTTGGAAATATTATCCATGAGATTGTTCCTTTAGATTTAACAATTAAAAATCATAATAGCATAGTAGTATTTAATGTAATAATATCTTTTTTCAATCTGGTTATTTAGGATTATCATGGCTAGAAAAATATAACCCTCAAATAGATTAGATTTCTCATAATCTTAATTTTTCCAATAGTATGATCCAAGTTTGAGTTAGTGAAGTAGAAGTACAAAAGTCTACTACATCCAAACCTTTATTGGTAGGTGTGAGAGCTTTCATGTATGTTGCAAAAGAAAGATCATCTTTTATTATATATGCTACGTCCATTTCTAATGGTGAAAAAATATCAAGTGGTATTTCTAGCCAATATTAAGAATTCGAAGATATTTTTAAAAAGAAGAATGTAGATATTCCTCTAGAGCATCAACCTTATGATTGTTCAATTGATTTGTAAGAAAGAGCTCAACCATTATTTGGACCAATCTATAGCTTATCGTAAAATGAATTGATTGCATTAAAAGAGTACATTGATGAAAATTTGGCAAATAACTTCATACGCCATTCTAAATCTTCAACGGAGGCTCCTATCTTATTTGTGAAGAAGAAAGATGAATATTTGTGGATGTGTGAGGATTACCAAAGACTCAATAAGATCACCATTAAAAATAGGTATCCTTTGTCTTTGAGTTTAGGACTTCTTAGCCAACTTAATCAAGCAAAGATCTATACAAAAATAGATTTATGACGAGCATACAACTTAATTCGTATCAAAGAAGGAGATGAATAGAAGACTATTTTTTGAATTAAGTATGGACATTTTGAATATAATGTCATGCCTTTTGGATTCACAAATGCACTCACTTCTTTTCAACATCTTATGAATGATGTTTTTTGTGAATTTTTGGATGATTATGTCATTTGTTATTTACACAATATTCTAATATATTTTAAGAATATAGAAGAACATAAAATTTATGTTTGTTATATGTTACAAAAACTTAGAAATACAAGATTATATGCTAAGTTAGAAAAGTATGTATTCCACATTACTCAAGTTGACTTTTTAAGGTACATCATTTCCAACAAAGGCCTTATGATGGATCTCAAGAAGGTCCAAACTATTATAGATTGAAAGATTCTAAGAATAGTATAAAATGTGCAATGCTTTTTGAATTATGCTAATTATTATCAAATCTTCATCAAGAACTTTTCTCAAGTTGTAACTCCACTTATATGTTTGACTTGTAAAGACAAATTTGAGTGGAATATAGAAGCACAAGCATCATTTAATGCTTTAAAGAAGAAATTTATTTTTGCACCAATCTTATATTGCATCAACTTCTTCAAGATATTTTTTATGGATACAAATGGGTCAAATTTTACTATAGGTATTATGTTGTCACAAATGGGAATAGATGACAAACTTCACCTACTAGCTTTTTATTTCCAAAAATTTTCAACAGTTGAGATTAATTATGAGATCCATGACAAAGACCTCCTTGTAATTATAGATTTATTTCAAGAATGGCATCATTGTCTAGAAGGCACTTTAAGTCCATTTATCAAGTATACAGATCATAAGTACCTCAAGTACTTCATATTAGTACATATTTTGATTTGTTGTCAAGTCCATTGGAACATGTTTTTATCCAGATTTAATTTCAAGATCATATATTGACACAAAAAATAATAAGGTCTATCAGATGTCCTTTTCAGATGTTCTTATCTTGTACCAAAAGAAAGAGATGCATCTTTTAATCAATAAAGAATAATTCTCTTGAAGCTCGAGCATTTTTATCTTTGAGCAATAAAATCAACATTGACTATTGATTCAATCTTTGTCAAGCAAATTCAATTAAATATGTCATCTAATTCTTTTGTTCATGATATCAAGAATACTTCTTCTAAGTCCTATGACACTTCAAAGTTTGAATTTAAGAGTAACCTACTATATTTTGAAGATCGCATATATATTTCATAAGGCGAGGCACAATTACATGTTTTTCCAACAACTGTACATTTTTGATACAATAAGACTTTAGAGCTAACATCAAGAGATTTTTGGTGGCCTCAAATGTAAAAAGTAATCAAAGACTTTGTACAATCATGCAATACTTGTTCAAGATTCAAAACTCCTCACCAT